TCCGCAGTAATGATTCAACAGGCATTATATTCACTTGACTTGACCTAAACAGTGATCACTACTCAGAACCTTTCATACATGTTATTGATTGAGTGTCCAGAAGAAAGAATCATCGAAAATGTAAAAAATTCTGACTGTTTTGGAAAGCGTATTTTTATAGACAAACTATCAGGGCACCATATATATTTATTTATTCAGTCGTTGATATGGATATTATTCACAAGCTACTTTTCTCATAAAACCATGTTCTTGCCTCCTCTCTGCCTGTTTCTTCTTCTCTCTTTCTTTGTATCTGTCTGTTCTGGTGAGGAGTGACAGAACTAATCAGGCATTAATGTATTAAAGCGACTACGAGTCGCATCCATATAGCTGACTGAAACACTAAAGTTGTAAAGGGTGGTTATCCTGAGTTTAATCCCCATGGTTGATCAACTGGAGAAAACTACAGACGATGAATAGACACAGAAGAGCAAGCGATGCCAAAAATGCAAGCAAAACGCGTACATAACCGCTGCACCGATAGCCTAACCATAAAGGCGGAAAAGTTAAGATTTTCTTACAGATCCATGATCTCCAATACTCTTTCTTTCCAAAACAAGGTATGGCAGCGGCTATGGAGAAGTTCATATTTTGAATTGTTTGATGCTCTATGGATATTAGGCTGAAGCTTACCAGAAGGTGAAGGCACGTAGGGCCTATAAGTCAAATTACTGCTTGAACTAAACAAAAGCAAATTCTATGAACTACAAGACATTTTACAATTACTTCCCATGATCTGACAAAATACCTGGTCGGTAACTCATAATGAAACGTAGTAATCCATAAATTTGCATATCACCAAATAACGTTTCAAAGTTTCTTTCCACTGTACCTGTCTGAAGACGTTTCAAGTTGTAGTTGAAAAGCGGTTGGTCTCCATTGCTGTTCAGAGTGAAACCCGTGTTCGTACCTTTGCCCAACAGAAGCCCTTGACCTTCAAGTCAGACCCACCCTGCCACTTTGAGGCAAGAACAGTGAATAGTGTAAGTGTGACTGTTCACCTGTCATTTGCCAGGCGGGACAGGTGAAAGTTTC